GCTATAGTTATTTAGTGCTAGCCATATCGTTTGTTGCTGTAGTCTTTTAGTGTTAACCATGTCATTTGTTGCTATAGTTATTTAGTGTTAACCATATCGTTTGTTGCTATACTCTTTTTAGCGTTAACCATGTCGTTTGTTGCTATAGTTATTTAGTGTTACCAATGTCGTTTGTTGCTATACTCTTTAATGTTAACCATGTCGTTTGTTGCTTTAGTTATTTAGTGTTAACCATGTCGTTTGTTGCTATAGTCTTTTTGTGTTAGCCATGTCGTTTGTTGCTATAGTCTTTTAGTGTTAGCCATGTCGTTTGTTGCTGTAGTCTTTTAGTGTTAACCATGTCATTTGTTGCTATAGTCTTTTAGTGTTAATCATGCCGTTTGTTGCTATAATATTTTAGTGTTAGCCATGTCGTTTGTTGTTATAGTTTTTTAGTGTTAGCCTTGTCGTTTGTTGTTATTGTCTTTTAGTGTTAGCCTTGTCGTTTGTTGTTATTGTCTTTTAGTGTTAGCCTTGTCGTTTGTTGTTATTGTATTTTAGTGTTAGCCATGCGTTTCAACTATGTTCTGGAAGCTTCAGTATCTTCTGATTTTAGCTCCACCAATTTTGAAAATAAGCTTGTCCAAACATTTTTCATTTTCTTCTGTTTTGGATGGCCATGAGTGAGAATTTAATATGCTATTCCTCTTCTATGTTCCACAGTGGAGGTTATGTATCCAAATAAAAGAAGTAAATTAAGTTGAATATAATATATTTTTTCCCTTGTCATTTTTGCGCTGTCATCCTTTAGCACCATCAGCTGCTTATCGACCAATCTTAACATGAAACATTTCTGTGCCTCGTGATTAGTTCTTCAGGCTCTGACACCGTACATCCATATAAGGTATATTAATTCAAAGTTTCAACTATTTGAATAAATTATATTCTTATAGGTCTTATTATGTCACGTGCAATTGTAAAGATTCTAAACTCAAGTTTTTTGTTTGACGATTTGGGCAGAAGCGTGTATAAATTATTCTTTATTCACATTTCACACTGCATATGAGGTACTTCACCATTATCAAGTGGCCTAGAATAGCGAGCTCGGACTGTGAACCCGAGTTTTAATGGTTCACGGACCGTTGCCGCAAAAATGCGCTCCGCAATTAGGTGCATTATAAAATTAACAACTGTTCAGTCAAACAAGAGCTGGTGGTGGGTTCCGTTGACTAGCTGTTTTCCGTCTAGTTTATCAGTTCACAATTAGGGATGGCTACCCACAGATAGCTCTTTGTGTAGCTTTACACCATTGTCCAACCTCTTGCTTTCATTTACTACTAATACTAGATAAATAAACCCGTCCTACAAACAGAATGGTTATACATGACGGTTTGAAACAGGTACTGCAACGAGAGCAGTAGGCCTAACATGGCAGTTTGAAACAGGTACTAAACGAGAGCAGTAAGCCTAACACGGTAGTTTGAAACAGGTCCTGCAACGAGAGCAGTAGGCCTAACATGGCAGTTTGAAACAGGTACTGCAACTGAACCGAATACATTCTTGTTTAATTTGGCTGTTGATAACAAGTATCAGGAATATCAAACAATACCCCACTCAATCCTGTGGCTATTGTAGTTACGTTAGTGATCGCACAAGAGTACAGTGTTTCGTTTTGTAACAAGATAATATTTCAAACACATTTGTACACCTTTCCTATTTATGTTGATGTTTCTGCTTTATTAACAATACTCGTGTTGTGAGCAACTGATTATTTTTTTGGAGAGAGAATGTATTTTTATTTACTTTAAAAGGCGTATTTATCCAGAAATTCCTCTAACTAGTATGTTTAGTATATATTTGTGTTTTTATGAGGAACGGCATGGTCCATGTGACCAATATTCAAACACTAAACTTTAAACAACTCATTGGCTGTATATCGACATTTATAAAAGAAAAAAATGTTCTATAAGATGTCGTTCAGATTGACAATATCAAATGCCAAATTAAAAGAAAAAAAGATGGGTCACTGTGATGTCTTGACATGCCATTACGGAGAGATTACAAAACACACACAGAAAGCTTATATAAAGGGATATTTAATTAATTAAAACGCCAGATGACAATAATGGCACAAGATTGGTTGTTCATACCAAAAGCACTGTGTACAAAATATATAATATATATATGGATATAATGATATATAGATAGAGATAGAAATATTTGTGCTAGACATAATTGGCCTGAGTGCAGACAAAGTGGTAGAAAACGATGACAATATGTGCATACGGCTCAACACCTAAAGCTGTTCACGCATTGAATAGTCTAGTCCTAACAATTCACAACCATATTTAGTACATTGTACGATTGTGGAGTGGTAAGTTTGTACAACAAAAAGAGATTAAATATTTAATATAATAATATTTAACTTACGATATGAAGTGTCGATTTTCATAAACAGAATTTGTGTTTACATTTCCTACACTAACGTGACTCAAAGTACAGATTCAAAAGTGTAAAAAGATTAACATTTCCTGTAGCGAGAACAACAAAAAAGGGTAATTTTAGAATAACTAAGTAAAAGCTTAAGAGTTTTTGAAGTGTCAAGAAGACAAAAGCAATAATGGCCATTTTTCAATGTCATTAGGACTATATATGGTTTACTACTAATTTCTCAAGTGACAAAAAACAACAAAACAAAATAGCCTTTTCTCACATTGCTGAGATTTTGATTGATTACATCTTACATGGGTTAGATAAACATATTTATCAATCGTTTTTTTTTTTTCAGTGACTAACTTTCAACGTTTCGTCTTGGCCATGGTTTGGTTCTTGCAAATAAATTAGTCTTAGCTTTTTTTCATGCGCTGCTACACATGTTTTTGTAATGTTAGCTGAAGAAAGTAAATACTAGTGAAACGAAGTTCCACCTAGAATGACTTTAATTCTGCAATGAACTTGATCGTCCCCTGCTTACGTCAAATTGCACACTTAACATTAAAGTATGGCCTATATCAGTTACCGAAAAGGAAATATTATATTAATATTCGATATAGTTTTACTCGTTCTGAAATGGAATTACTTTTTTCGCTTCAGTTGATAGGTGGCGGTTTATAAACGGACAAAATAATATCACGAAAAGGTTTTCTGCTATTAATTGGTACTTTAAATACTTCAAGTTATTGTTAGATCTGTAATTTCTAAAGTCTTAAAAATCTTTAAGGTGAGGAAAAGTAGGTATCCAGGAAAGTTACAACTTAATATGATAAAAATTAAACTATGTTACGTATATTTCACAAGAGGGCCCCCTGGAGATGATGTTCTGATTGAAGAACAGGCTCTGTTATAACTGTAATTTCCAACTTTTTTCTGATTGAGGTCCAATAACTGATTATATTGTTTGCATTCTAAATCCAGCAGAGGCTTACATAAAACAAAAAGTGAAAGGGAATACCTACTAAACTTATTCCATCGAGGAATAATACATTACCGCTTTTACCTTTGGATATCACTGTACCTCAAACTTTCTGTTACAGTACGTATATAATTTAAAATTCCATCATGATTGTTTATGTTCCTGAAAAAAGCTTCCACATTTTGCTACTTTGCAAGTACCTTGCGGAGTGAAAACTGTCAGCACGGTTTTAGAAAACAATGATATATTACCGTGGCTGATGTAAAGATCATACTTGCATCGGGAGGAATTGGAAAACCACATGTCACATTAAGTAGCCCGTTACATGACACAGGTGGTCATCACATAGATTAACCAATATTGCAACAACGTGGCCTAACCGGTATCCATCTGTTACAAGAATGTAACCCGTACAATAATACAAGAATGGAGATTAACATATACTATAATACTGTAGCCTAACCGGTATCCATCTGTACAGAAATGTAACTCATTCGATATTACAATAATGCAGATTAACATATACTACAATAATGTAGCCTAACCGGTATCCATCTGTTACAGAAATGTAACTCATTCGATATTACAATAATGCAGATTAACATATACTATAATACTGTAGCCTAACCTGTATCCACCTGCTACAAGAATGTAACTCATTCGATATTACAATAATGCAGATTAACATATACTACAATAATGTAGCCTAACCGGTATCCATCGGTTACAAGAATGTAACTCATTCGATATTACAATAATGCAGATTAACATATACTACAATAATGTAGCCTAACCGGTATCCATCGGTTACAAGAATGTAACTCATTCGATATTACAATAATGCAGATTAACATATACTACACTAATGTAGCCTTACCGGTATCCATCTGTTACAAGAATGTAACCCGTACAATAATACAAGAATGGAGATTAACATATACTATAATAATGTAGCCTAACCGGTATCTATCTGCTACAGAAATGTAACTCACTCGATACTACATTAATGCAGATTAACATATACTACAATAATGTAGCCTAACCGGTATCCATCTGCTACAAGAATGTAACTCATTCGATTTTACAATAATGCAGATTAACATATACTACAATAATGTAGCCTAACCGGTATCCATCTGCTACAAGAATGTAACTCATTCGATATTACAAGAATGCAGACTAACATATACTACAATAATGTAGCCTAACCGGTATCCATCTGCTACAGGAATGTAACCCAAACAATATTACAAGGATGCAGACTAACATATACTACAATAATGTACCTTAACCGGTATCCATCTGCTACAGAAATGTAACTCATTCGATAGTACAATAATGCAGATTAACATATACTATAATAATGTAGCCTAACCGGTATCTATCTGCTACAGGAATGTTACCTAAACAATATAGCCCAACCGTTGTTCTAAGAATGCAACCTAACCAGTATTAGAAAATGTTAGCATAACCGACATTTCAAGAATGTAATAACAGATGGATAATCCTCGTGGGCAAGACCAAATTAACACCTATGCAATCAGAACCAAACTTTTAATAGATTTAATTTTTAATTTGTTTATTAACAGGTTCTTTTAGTTCGCTATGTTATGATTTATATAGGTTCACAGTCTCTCAATAAAGATGCAGCCCGTCTGATGCTTTGTGTGTGTGTATGGACAGAAATGGGAAAAAGTGTAACGTGTTCCTGGAGCATATTTTTTTTCTATCAGATATTTTCTAACTCTAAACATAAAAACATATAAAATTTACGCTATTGATATTTGCCCACTAAGACCGAAACTAATCTTACTATCTTCATTTCCCTCCTCCCCCTTCATAACCTGTTCACCGACTACAACGTATCTATCCGAATATAACAAAGTTGTTTTATCCTAAACTCCTAGAAAACAACTAAAAGTGAAGACTACAAATTTGGCTTTATTGTGAATAACTTTTCTCTGTCTATACTATAACTAATATTTCATATCCAAGCAAAGCTATAAAGGTTAGAATTATGATTTGAATGTAAATATCGATTATAACATACGATTTTCTGAGCTCAGTCAGTTTTAGGCTAGATTTAGGATAATATTTGTTAAGGTGTTTAAGTTAACAACTCTCCCTCGTGTGAAGGTTAAACCTGGAAATACGTACAAGATACAAATAACTGAGTATATCGTGCTCCATTATTATACGGTAAAAATATTCACACCAGACGACAGAAAATAATACATAACATCCACTATAATAAACAATTTCACAGGAAATTTTCGGTGTTAAACATCAACTTCTGTTTGAAAGTTCTTCAATCACTTCCATTAATTAATCTAAAGTATTTAAAAAAACGTTTTTTAATCAATTAAAAAGACCCTTTCCCGTAACACCAAAAAACAAACACAACCGTTTATCTTTTGAAAGAGTGTGATGAAAAACGGTTCTCTAACATTGTTGATACTGAAATGTATAGAACAATTACGGATACTACCCCCCCCCCTTCCGTATCCAAGTATACTTTCCGTAACTAACAGTTAAAACGTGTTTGTGGAAATCAGGTTTTGGAAAACTGATATTGTTTAATTACTTTATTCATCGTGTGTATCCACTTGCCAGAAGTGTTCTTTTATAAGAGGAAACGGTGAAGTCACGACGTGTTATATAAATATTATTTATACACATAACATACTGATTAGATTATAATTAGAGATGCACGGCTAGTACAAATTGGCCGCAAACTGGGTCCGGGTACCCGGTCACTAAGCTTCGGCCGGGACCGGGTGTTAACCAGGACCGGATTGTCCCCTTGCCTCCCCCCTCCTCAAACCCCACCTTCCCTAGATATCCACTTATCAAGCCATGACTGTTATTAACCCCTATTGTTTTCTGAATCCCCAACTTTCAGCGGGAGGTCAGTTTTTGTTGCTCGGAACACGTTTTTTGAAATAACTAAATCAATTATTGACTGTAACTTCCAGTAACAAGATTGGTAGCCACAAAGATTAGGGCTTAGATGCCTAACTTCGACCCTCGCCCGGAGTCGAATATTACCGGGTAGCCCAATACCCGGCCGAATATCTGGCCGGGTACCCTTGCATCACTAGTTATAATATAGTACGTTTAAATTAAGATCAACTTAATTAAGTATCAGTAGACATCCAGATGTTGTACGAGGCTTCTAAAACTACCATATTATTGCGGTGTTGAAACTCTGATTCTAATCGCTTATGATTTACAAGATCAAATTGTGTTAAGATTAGGTTTAGATTTAAGAAGAGAGAGAGAGAGAGAAGGTTCATCGCGCTTTCTACTGTTTGTGGTGGTTAAACAAAAACTTTTAAATCTTCATAAGTTTTTGTGCAACATCAACATATTGAGCATGATTCAAGACAATTTTGATGTTTCACGGTCACAATTCAGTTGTTTTAGGCTTAGTTTAAAAACCCGGTCACAGTTCAGTCGTATTAGGCTTAGTTTAAAAACCCGGTCACAGTTCAGTCGTATTAGGCTTAGTTTAAAAACCCGGTCACAGTTCAGTCGTATTAGGCTTAGTTTAAAAACCCGGTCACAGTTCAGTCGGATTAGGCTTAGTTTAAAAACAGCCTAAGCCTTTGAGCAACACTAGTTTTTAGATAACAAATTTAAACATGAGAGTTAAGTCAAGAAAAACCAAGATTTAACTGGGATAAAAAAGACTAGATCATATAACACAAAATAATTCTTTCTTTTAAAATATCTAAAACAAGCAAGGGTGATCAATTAAAATTCAATTATTTGCTAACAAAAGTTTTTGCAGTAAAGCTCGAGCATGTCTTAGTTTGTGTTAGATGATCGGTTTTTAAAGAAAGAAATATATTTTTTTTAAATTTTAATATTAAGTTTTGATCGGCTAAAGTAGAGTTAAGGAGGACTCATTCACAAACGAATCTGAACACATCTGTTTTTGTTCAGGGTCTTTTGTTTCTCTGTTCTCTGACGAAATCTTGGGCTAGCTTGTCCCATGTCCGAAATTCCAGAGCATACAGTATGTCACCTAGAATAATATATGAGAAAAATGGAGAATTTTTCTACGTGTTGACTGTAGCATTTGTTTTCAACAAAATTCTATCATCGAATATAAATAAAATTAAAATCACCTATACCTTGTTACACGTACTAATTAAATCTAATAAACTAATGCATAAGCTTAACCGAGCTGGAAAAAACAAACTTTAAAAATGAATTATGGTTAACATTGTTAGCCCTAATTAGCATCTGAATCAAATTGTTGAAATTCACTAACCCTGAAATTGTGTTGCATATTTAAAAAAAAAATGTTGCGTGTGTAAACAGATTTTTCCATACTAAAATTAATTAATTCCTTTTAGAAAAAGACACTTTTATATACAGAAACGTTTGATAAATATAACGTTCTAACCTTCATCTTTAATCCATACATCCTGATTTAACTGGAACGGAGTTTAATGAAACGTGATGGGCGTGGTCTTAATGTCTGTAAATTCCTCCAAAGTTTAGAAGAACAGTTTGAGCCATGAATTAAAAGCAAGTTAGGCTTGATAGTGTTTCCGTATCTGTTCGTCAGTTAATGAGTAGTCAGTGCATGATTTAGTTAGTTTGAAGAATTATAAACACGAAATTAAACAAATAAACTTTCTGTTTAGATCTAGTTTATTTGTGACTTTAGGCTAACCGTCGACTTAATTGGAATAAACTGTGCGTTATTCTTCCTAGCGCAAATATAAACCTCGCCAAAAATGAAAACAGTAACTCTTAAATAGCTCTATTGTCGAAGACTGTTGTTGTCTAGTTAAACAAACGTAGGTGTGTCTTAATGTGACATGGAGGCCTCGCACAGAATTCTAAGAATGTACGAGTGAAAGTAAAGAATATGAAAACGGCGCTACATGTGCCATATCTAGTGCCGACGAAGCCTTTCGCTTCAAACCAGAGCTCATCAGACTGACTGGGATATGACACAATTAGGTGAGGTCGGGCCCTCTTTATACGAACCATTTTATGAACAACTGTTATGGTGTGAATTAGCTTTAGTAAGTGAATTATCATTATTAATAATATTATTTAAGTAATTTATACACCATAATTAGAGTAACAATTAGTTTGTTTGAAGTTAAGCACAAAGCTACACAATGGGCTATCTGTGCACTGCCCACCACGGGTATCGAAACCCGGTTTCTAGCGATGTAAGTCCACGGACATACCGCTGTGCCACTGGGGGGCGTAAGAATTAGTAACACATTATTATTTATTTGAATTAATTTTATTATGATTCGGAAGAACTTGCGAAAAAAATGTTAACTAGTGGCTTTATCCTCACAAGATTGATGTAGGATCAACAGGTTATTAGACTCCAAACAACTGACATGTTTAACGCGTCTTTATTATTCTCGACCTTATTTGGTTGACCACAGTTGGTGGACACTGTCCGTCCTCTATTTTCAAGGAAACGCTATTTTTCATACACCTATCTGCATTGTTATCTGTTTTGGACAGTAGTATTGAACATAGCTACGTTGTGTAACCTTATACAGGTCATTCACTGTTTTGTGATTCATAAACCCTAAAAAAAATGGTTGAAAAGTAGTCAGCACATCGATCAAAAAAACCATCGTTTACTGTTTTGAAATAGAACAGCGGAGAGTTGTAATCTTACACGGTTTTCAAAGCTTGGATAAATAAGTCAATACCTATATCCTAATGTGACAACTTTGGTTCCGAATCCCTCATTTCAAGAAAACGAAGACAATTTTTTATGTAAATATTACATCAAATAAATTTTACAGTGTTACTAGCAGGTATTTGGTCTGGCTTTCTGGATGATGACGTCAACTTCAAGGACTGAAAATACTTACTCTTATCATTTGGCTGCATGAGCACTAAATTTACTGCCACGTGGTCTTGTGTAGATTCTTCTAGCCCTGGTATCGTCGTCAATGACAGGTAAGCCTCACCCTCAAAATCATTCTTTGTAACTACATCATGGTCCATGACAGTAAAGCAGATCGCAGCGCCCTCTTGCTTACATCTCTCCGCAGTGACGGTACTGTATTGAATACAAAAACTTATCTGTAAAGCTTATATTTCCTATAATTCAAAACGTACAGGGTAATTACGACATATTTAAAATGATTATATCATGACAAATATTTGTTCTAGGTCAGGGGTCGGCAACCCCTCAAAGAAGAAGAAGAGCCATTTTTTTTATTTTTGTCTAAGACTAAAACATTTCGATAGCCGCAATATGCCTTAACGGTCTACTGTAAAAAAAACAAAAAGCGGCAAGTCTTCGGATTTACAACGCTAAAATCAGGGGTTCGATTCCCTCTATGTATTTTTTAATCTAGCTAATTTACAACGCTAAAATCAGGGGTTCGATTCTCTTCTATATATTTTTTTTTTGGTCTAGCTAATTTACAACGCTAAAATCAGGGGTTCGATTCCCTCTATGTGTTTTTTGGTCTGTCTAATTTACAACGCTAAAATCGGGGGGTCGATTCCCTCTATGTGTTTTTTGGTCTGTCTAATTTACAACGCTAAAATCAGGGGTTCGATTCTCCTCTATGTATTTTTTTTTAGTCTAGCTAAACCTTCTAAGGGATTTTAGGAGTTAGCTAGAATGATAACTACGCGACTCTATTCTAAATAAAAGCTGCAAATGTTGAGATTAAATTTTAAACAGCTATTGTGCCTGAAAGATTATTAACTTTTATTCACAGTAAGAGTAAAGCCCGAGAGCCACAGGTTGCCAACTCCTGTTCTAGGGGAAGCAAATTTCACCAGAGGCACATTGAGACTAAGTTTAGATATACGTACGGTACAGGATCTTTCAAGCTATATTATAATGTATACCTATATCGCTTTTTCTTGCAAAGTAGCATTGATTTTATTTCTCTCTCTCTCTCGTTCCCAGTACGAGACGAGGTTTTGAATAAAACGTGTGTATGATATTACTAGGACTAATGAAGACTGTCTAACACAGAATAGCCTCATTTGGGTATAGGCTTAGTAAGTTGATTAAGAATTACAGAAGGCGTATCGATCACCTACTGTGACAGTCTTTGAAACACGCTGCACGTGTACGGACTTTCCGGAATAAAACCCACGGTTCTCGATATGCTTCGGGAGGAATTCAGTTCCCTTTGGGCAAGTAGTTTTTACGATATAATCATTTTAAATGCGAGGTTTTCTTTATATTGTCTCTGTAAAATTGAATTTGTAGTTAAATCTATTACGTAAAGACAATAAAATTAAATCAACGTAGAATGAGATGGCTCTGGGCTTTACGATTCGATTGTAAATAAATTTAAAGTAACGAAAAAATATAACTAATTGTGTTTGTGATGTTGGCTATTTTAAAGTTGATTACATTTCCACTAACCGATGGCTTTAGTGATGTTTTAAGAACTTCTGATCAAAATAAAGCTAGCTGTGTATGTCAGAGCTAAAAAGTAACCTAGAACAGGTTCTCAAGAAGCACATAACGTCATAAACAAATACACAAGAAAACTAAATTAAGTTTCATATTAATGTCTGATGACAAGAATAATTAAACATAATCACGTTTCGCCAGCTTGAAAAAAAGGAGTTCACATCATAACAAAACTAAAACCTATAATGACTAGAATAAACTGAACCATCAATTAGACACTCTCGTTCTTTACCGTAATTATCGTATACATAGTTAATTATACCATGTAGCCGACTTTATGGCGAAATGCACTCAGGATGTACATTATGACGTAGTCCTTCATATAATAATTACATATACATATCTATAACTTGTTGCCATTTAAATTTATTTATTGTTTAGTCATTGTCAACTAGTATGACGTCATAAATTAACAATAATTTCTAAGTGTTACTAGCTTTATTCTACTTAGATGAAAGAATTAAATAGCAAACTTACACAACTTTCCGAGGTTATTTCTGGGAAGTAAAAACCAAAAACGACAGAAGTTTCAAATCAGGTTAAAAACAGATTTTATTGCTTTAAATTACTTGTCATGAGGCATTTGAAGTAGGCTTACATTTTTTCAACACTTCATTCTATATATTTATCTAGTCCCTTATGAATTCTCAAGAATAAGACGAGTGTATTAAAATAATGTTCCAACCATGTTCGCCGTGTCCATTGCCGACGACGCGTTTCGCTCAATCCAGAGCTCATCAGGTCGGATGGGACACAACAAACACAGTAGTGGTCGGAACACAATTTACATAAGCCAGTTACTATAACAACAACTGCGATACCCGCGAAACAGCCTACTGTGTAGTTTTATGCTAACAAGAAATAAAAGTTATTTTTATATTTTAATTTACAATTCATTTATAAACAAAAAAAAAGTTGTCATAAAATAATGTTATTTCTGTATTAAGTCCCATCATGGTCCACACGCACGGGTGCAAGATTATTGAAGTGATTAAACAATTTACGAGCAGCTTTTTCAATTTAATTGTTATCCATATAACGGTCATTGACCTCTAAAAAAAAACGTAGCAGTCCGTTTCCAGTAGTACCTTGAAAGAACAATATTGTTCTCGGCCTTAAGCTTGTCCATTTAATTGTTTGTTTCTATTTGAAATTCGAGCAAAGCTACACGAGGGCTATCTGCGCTAGCCGTTCCTAATTTAGCAGTGGAAGGCAGCTAGTCATTACCACTCACCGCCAACTCTTTGGCTACTCTTTTGCAAACGAATAGTGGGATTGATCGTCACTTTTAACGCCCCAACGGCTGAAACTGCGAGAATGTTTGGTGGGACGGGGATTCGAGCCCGCGACCCTCAGATTGCGAGTCAAGAGCCCTAACCACCCGGCCAGGTCGGAGCATTGTCCATTTAAACAAATCAAAATTAACTATTTTGATCTTTATTTTTTTCCTGTTTAAACCTATTTTTTACACAAACTTATTACATATTCAAACATGGAAAATGTAATCATCATCACGTGTGTTTGGTACGAAACTTACAATTCGAAGCTTTCATCAAAAAAAGGGTTCAAAGTTCGCTTCTGGACTTTGGTCATTTGACGTGGACAGTCAGGAAATTTATGACGTGGTAGAAGTTCAATGATGACAAATGGATCACTGAAACCTAGAAAGAAAAGTTATTTGAAGTCTGATAGCTACATTAAAAGTCGATCATTTTAAAGACTATTTTATTATTAATTGTAATTGGGAGTAATTAAACAAATGGATCACTGAAACCTAGAAAGAAAAGTTATTTGAAGTCTGATAGCTACATTAAAAGTCGATCATTTTAAAGACTATTTTATTATTAATTGTAATTGGGAGTAATTAAACAAATGTATCACTTCTTACCCGTTGGATCCAACGGTGTCAGGTTTGCAGCTTCAACAACTAGAAATAGTCACCAAAACATTGTATTTTTATAAAACAAACTGGAGTTTGTGACACTAAAATCTATTTACATATAACAGAATAATTTACATATCCGTGAAAAGTGTTTTATCTTTAACACATTACATAAAAGTTATATACTTTCTTAAATAGTTTGTAATATTTTTTAAGTTGTAGCATTTGTTTTAGTTTTCTACGGCTTTTTGTTTGTGTTTAAAGGCAAGGCTACACAATTAGTTATCTGCGCTGTGCCTATCACAAGTATCGAACCCAGATTTTAACGTTATATGGCCACAAGTTTATCGCTAAGCCACTATGGGGGGGGGGGGTCTTTACCGCTGACTAAAGCTAAAGTTAAATATTTTCCCATATAAACAACTCCACTGAAACTTGCCCCCAGTGGCACAGCGGTACATCTTTGTACTTATACCGCTAGAAACCGGATTTCGATACCTGTGGTGGGCAGAGCACAGACAGCCCTTTTTGTAGCTTTGTTCTTAATACCCACCAACCAACCAATGAAACTTACCATCAACAGAGAGACTGTCAGAGGGACTGTTAAAGAGTGCCTTTACTGTCAGTATACCGAACTCCCCCTGGCGGAGTCGTTTCTGTTGGGGTAAAAAAACAAGTGACCCAATGATGTAAAATGCAAGACACAACAAAGATGTTATGATTAAGATAAGTCTGTGGTACCTTATAACATATGTCATGGAGGGGAATGATAAACGTGTTCAGGGCATTTCTACATTATTACAATACTGAGATAATATTTACCTGTTCTTTTATTCTTTCGGCTATGTATTCTTCTATCAGGTCACTGGTCTCATTTGTGTTAAGTTTAAGTAGACGCTCAAGAGCCTAAAAAACAAATTTTTTGAATATTTGTTTACATAAAGATAATACCTCGTGTACAATAAAATAGCGGACAAAATATTTTATCAAAGTTATTCGCTTCTTTTAAACTCTGGATACTACGAAGCTTCTAAAAACCTAACGTCTGTTTCAGATAACACAGGCCTGCGATTGTTTTATTGTCTTGAAATTTTTACACGTTCCACAGTAATTCCTGTACGCTGAATCCGAAAGCGATAACCGTTTTTCTCCATCACGTACATATTTTTCACAAAACGTCATAAAGCAATACATAAAAAAAACACCACAACACGTAGTTTTGAGACTAAAAGACGTAGATTTCATAAAATAAATCAGGATGAATGAGGATGCATATTCGTTTGACATCAATGTTCTTCCCTTTTCTTCAGTTTGTTTGTATTTTTTGTTAACAAACATAATAATAAAAAATGTCCATTGTGGTAAACGAAGTAATAATTTAAGTAAGAGTTTTTTTTTTCTCCTCGATTTTAAAAAAATCCTTATGGGATAGAAAAACAATGAATATTATTTACGATATCTTCGTAGGTGAACTATGGAAAATCCGTTATTAAAACCAAAACAACTTTTATGAAGTTTAAATTCCCAGGTCTGTGTAGTCGGCTTCAGGGGTAACAGGATTTGGCTAGTGGGCTGTACTGTGATAGTAACAAATAGAAATACAATAAACAAATATTGTGACGTTAGAAAGGTGAACAGGAAATAGCATGAAAGTCCACTTTAGATAATACCCTAGTGAATGAACGATAGTAATTTATGTGATAAACGAAACTAAGCTTGGCATGTTTGACTTACAGAAGTGTAACGACACAAAACAAAAAATATTACATTGTTGATCAAAGTAAGAGCTAGTAACAAACCGATCTGAGAATTAGCCAATCATAAACAGGCAAACCTAGGTTGTGACGGCTATATTCACCCATGTGACTATCCTGTCGGTAACCTCACAATGTCAACCTAATGGTCAAATAAATGGATGAGTGGACAGAAAGTCTAGACTGGTAACAACATATTTCTAAGTAGAACTACCGGTGAGGTTAATGATGATTATAATTCGGAATTATAGGAACGTTTAATTTATGATACAAACGTATATATCAATATTAGCACAGTAAGGGTCATTGTAGACTATACCCCCCCCCCCCCAGAAAACAACAACACATCCCTAAATTAAAAACAGAATACCGCAAGGAATAATAAAAATAAATAACGAATTTCAATAAAAATAACACGTTACCTCTATCATACATATAGATACTATCTTGCTACAGGAAAAACAGAGTAGGCTTAAGCAACCATATCGTCAAATGACTCCACCTATTATCTAATTTACGAACCTATACTGATAAATATCTGATAACTCTTAAAGAAAAGAACATACAAAAATTACGACGAATGTCAACAGAGAGATGTTAAAGAATTGGCAACGAAATATATGGTGGGTGTTACAAAAGTAGCAGCCAATCCAGATTGAGTTACGGATAACAGAAATCGTTTCAAAATAGCAGTGTTACATACAACCAGGACCAAATTAAACGGAAATAGTAAGGCGAGTTAGTTTTCTTAAAATTCACTTTCTGAATAATAATAATTAAAAAAAAACAATGAAAAATAATTCACTGAGTAATCATTTTCGGATTTCTTAGTTTTGATAATTAGCGTAAAGCTATTTCTAATCTCGATCTAACAGATCAGAGGGAGGGCAAGTAGTCAACAGAAAACACCGCTAGCTAGTTTTGTATAAATAACAAACGTATTAAAGAAAGATAGTTAATTACTTCCGAATTAGTTTTGTATTAATAACAAACGTATTAAAGAAAGATAGTTAATTACTTCCGAATTAGTCTTGGATAACAAAGCATTTCAAAGAAAGTTAATTCATTTAGTAATTAATTATTGATAATAAACATAATCAAGCAGTATAATTAACTTGATAATTAGTTTTGGATAATATAAAGATATTAAAGAAATGGAATTTAGTTGACATACAATTTCAGATCACATAAAAATGATTAATAAAAAAAGTGGCAATTACTTGATAATCAGGTCCACGAAGCATTTCGTCATGAATTCCTTTACTTCCCGCGTGGAAGAATTCCGCTAAGATTCTTAGCGCGCTGATTAGACGGTCATAGAACGCCATCTTTTCCTGCAAAGAAATATTTCAATTCTTTCATCATCCAAAAAAAACGTTACACCTTTCTGTGGAACCAGTCCCACTGAAACTGATAATAAACCATTATAACCTGTATGTTGACAACAAACGTAATACGAAGCCGTATTCAAGGATAATCAGCCAATCAAGACTTAAGCCGTATCTAAGGGTAATCAGCCAATCAAGACTTTTGGAACATCTATTACGTAAGTGAAAAAATATGTACGCTATTCCAAGTAATCCAGTACAAATGTTTAAATGTTACCAAACAAATTACACTCAAGAAGTTTAACATTAGTTTAAAACTTCCAATAAAACAAAACGTTGACACTGAATTGGCACAATACATCCAACCCGGCGAGGCAATGAGGCACAAAACGTTGACACTGAATTGATACAATACGTCCAACCCGGCGAAGCAAGGAGGCTTTTTAAGCCTAATAAAATTGATAAATTGGACTTACTTACGCCATTTGGGACTTACTAAGTCTAAATTAAATGCTAACAAGCTTAAAACAAGCTGGAGCTTTCCTCACGAATGTCTGGCGAAAGAAAAGAAGTTTTAACAACCTTGATCGATATTATTTTTTGATCCACTCTTTTGGGATAAAACACAAAGAAATTATTTGGTAACAAAAGATCCGTCCTTTCTCTGAATCCTTGTAGCAAATTAGGTTGTCTGGTGGTGAGTGAAGACCTTACGAAACTTCGCACATAATCTCAATCTTACAAGCTCGGAGTTCATTCCGTAACTGGAGTGACAGTTTGAAGGTTTGATGAGAGTCGAGTGAAATTTAAGATAAAAGTAATGCGTCTTCTGGAAGACAAAAACAGCATAATTAAAGTGTTGTCCTATTTTACGTAGATGATGAATCACGTTTTTGCTTTAACGCTGTTTTCTTTACTTGATAAAGTACACGCAACTTTAATTGGAGTGAATGGAAAACTCTGATAGGATTGCTATTGCAACACCAAACTAAAAAAACACACAATTCTAGACTTCCACCAAAATCTCCCATGTACGTACTACATAGTAGTTTAACATTGAAAGTAGAATTCTTATATATATTCGTTGAATTACGCCCAAAGCTAGCCGCCCCTAATTTAGAAGTGTTAGACTAGAGGGAAGTCAGCATTGGACTACTCTTTTACCAACGACAAGTAGAATTGACTGTCACATTATAATGTCCCCACGGCTGAAAGGGCGAGTGTTTTCGGGAACGGGCATTCCTACTAAGTATATAATTTAAAAATTACCAACTGACTGAAAGTCGGATTTGTTTTACAGATACAACAAACAATATATGACAATGATTTGCATTGATGGGGTATCACTTTTAAAAGAAGATATACTTAACAAGGATGAATTGTATAAAAATATTACAATAAACAAAGCTGCCTGTTATAACAAACAAAAATGTTGCCATAAATGTAAAGTGTTATTAAAACAATAAAGAATGAGAAGAAGTACAAAAAATAATTATAATACACATGTTACAGTTAACCAAAACAGAAGCGTTACAATAATAATGTAGAAATACCACACTAACCAAAACAGAAGCGTTACAATAATAATGTAGAAATACCACACTAACCAAAACAGAAGCGTTACAATAATAATGTAGAAATACCACACTAACCAAAACAGAAGCGTTAACAATAATAAT